AAAAAAAACCTATTGATGCCTGGGTCCCATTCCCAGAGATCCTGACTTAACTGATCTTGGGTGTGAGCTGGGCTTCAACAATGTTAAAAGCTCTTCAGGTGATTCAAATTTGCAGCCACATTTGAGAGCCAGTGCCTTGGGTTACCTACCAAGTAGTTGGGTCTACCTCCAACTCCTTGCCCGGCCTCTCCCTAACATTCTGGTTTATAGGACAAATGTGTGGTGCCAGTTTGCCCAATCTGAACACTACCGGGAGATGCAGCATGCTGTGTAAGGCTGTGTTATCTTCCAAATGGCCCGACCCAATGGGGGCTCTGATGCTGTATACGTAGCTTCCAAATTCTCTCCACAGTCTCCCTCCCAGGGTACCTTCCACCAGCTTTTTGTCTCAGCAACATCAGAGTTCTAGCCGCGACTATAGCTCCAGGTGTAAGCAATGGAGAAGTAGGGTAAAGGTGGATGGAAATACCCAAGGACACGTGTGCACATGCACGGGCGTGCACGTGCATACTCAACCATAATCGATAAATTAGACTTAGAAGTGGAATTCTGCTTATACAGAAATTGTCTGATAAAGAAGTGGCCACAGTGCTCCATTATGTCTGTTTTTGTGGCACTTATTAGGAGGAAGACCCGGGTCCCTTGCCACCAGAGCAGGTCTTACTCAATGAGCTGCACTGCTTAAAAGCAACCTGTCTCCCCCTCCCTGCTTTCCCCGTCTGGGATCCTTAACTGGCAAGATCTAAACAGTAATATGCCTGGGCTAGACCCAAGTCTATTAAATGCCGTAACTTTCAGGCTTTTTGAAAATAAAAATTTGCATGAGTTTCCAGATAGCAACTTGGTAATATGTCTCAAGAGCTTGAAATATGTTTGTGATACGTTCATCTATATCATGCATCATAAATATGTTCATATATATCAGTTTTTATGCTTTAATCTAATTATTTTACTTCTTATCCTAAGACAATTAAGAAGGGGAGAAAGATTTATATATAAAGATCTTCAACAAAGTGTTATGTATACTTATAAAAAATAAGAAGTAACTGTATACATTTTATAATACCAGATTGGTTTAATGTCATGTATAGCATAGTACAGATAATGAAGTATACAGACTGTTAAAACTTAATGTTTTCAAATAATTTTTAACAATGTGAAAAATGCTCACAATATAATGCTAAATGAAAAGTATAGGAAAATGATTAGTTTTTTCAATTTAATCCAGTTGTAGATATATACACTTCTTTGTAAAGAAGGAAACACTGGACAGAAATACACTATGTTAAGAGTAGTTATCTGGATTGTGTGATTGTGGCTGATTTTTACCCCCTGAATTTCCCAAGCTTATACTGTGTCTGTAACCAGAAAAAAACATTTTTTTAATGAAAAGGTTTCATTTCTCATTATGGCAGCAAGCATTTATCAGAGGCTGATCTCAGAAGTGACCCCATAATCATCTTCCTATCACTGCCTGTGGGCACACAGGCATTCCAAGCCCTTCTGTGCTCTTCACCACCCTTAAGCCCCCAGCAGCTTTGACATGGGTGAGCGAGGGAGCATTCCATCCTTCTGAGTAGTCTGGCTGGGAGCTGGGGTGCACTTGCTGGGCAGCGGGACCTGTGGCCTGTGAGGGTGTCTACCACGTACGGACTATGTGTCCTTCCTATTACTCTTCAGTATAATGAACTCAGCAGGAGCCTCAGGAATTGGAGAGGTCTTGCCCAGACATGCAGGAATGCATTTATTCATTCAGTCTGGAGGTATTTATTTAGCATCTTCTGTGTGCCAGGTGAAGTTCCCACTCGTCCCACGAACACTGTTACAGGTTGTTACTTGAAGCAGCTGACTCGTAGAGTTGAGAAGGCAAGCTGAAGACTAAAGCTTGCGGTTCCACATGGAAGATCATTCCACCTGCTAAGGAGTTCCTTAGCAGGAACTTAGGAGTCATGGTCTCATCAAAGGATGCTTTCTCTGTTTTTTCAGATGGAGGTGATTGTGGGGGACTTTGGGATCGTGGTGGTGCCCCGGGACGCAGCTGACACAGACCGGATCATGAATCACTCCTCAATACTCCGCAAATACAAAGTGAGTCCTTCATCTCCTGGCTGCTATAGCTCTGTGGCATGTTCCTTCTCTGAGAGGCCTGGGGGCTGGAGGAATGAGGGCACCCACGGAGTGTAGTGTGAGGGACTGGCAACCCGCTTTCTCTGCTCTATCCCCAGAACAACATCATGGTGGTGAAGGATGACATCAACCATCCTATGTCTGTTGTCAGCTCAACCAAGAGCAGGTACGCTTGGCAAACAGCCAGAGGGAACTTGGTCAAATGGGCTCACAAGTTTTATACAACTTTCCTCATTTCAAGCTGACCCTTACATTTGCTGACACCCTGCTGCCTGGTATTCAGCCTTCTTTGGGGACTTCATGTATTTGTCCCCAGTCATTTACTTAAAAAAAATTTTTTTTAACATTTATTCGTTTTTGAGAGGCACAGAGAGAGAGACAGAGTGCAAGATGGAGAAGGGCAGAGAGAGAGAGAGAGAGAGGGAGACACAAAATCCGAAGCAGGCTCCAGGCTCTGAGCTGTCAGCAAAGAGAGGGAACCGGGGCTCAAACTCATGAACCTTGAGATCATGACCTGAGCTGAAGTCGGATGCTTAACGGACTGAGCCACCCAGGTGCCCCTCCCTCCAGTCATTTACTTTTAAAGGGGAGCAGGTCCTTGACTAGTTTTAGCTGGTTTGTGGGGGGAAGGGGATGTTTTTAATTTGAGACTTTTTAGTGTGAGGTAGTTATGAAGTACTGTATTAATAAGAGTATAGGCTAAGCTGCTATAACAAAAAGAGCCAAAATAGTCACAGTTTAAGAAAATGTCTATTTCCCTCTTACTGAAGTCAAAAGAAACTGACCTCTGACCTCTTCGATGTGAAGCCCCTATCTGTGGGTCCACAGCTGCTGCCATGACTGCTGGAAAGAGCAGGAACTTGGTCTTTAAAAAGGTGACTCAGAGTTGTGCAGATCACTTTCCCCTGCATCCCACTGGCTCAGCCTCAGTCACACAGCTATACCTCCCTTCAAGGGAACCAGGGAAAGAGAGAGTATGTGCTCATGTGTAAATAGTTAAAGAGTAGCATCAAATTGAGAGGTGAGAGCTGAAACCCAATGGCAATGGCCAATGAGGGGAGAGGAGAAGGATTTGGCTCCAAACATGGCTGCACAATAAAATCACCCCTCACACTTACACAAGCACACAAATTCCTGTGTCCCATTCAATCCCACTGAATCGCAATTTGTGGTGGATGGGCCTAGGAATTTGCTTCCTGGGTGATTCTGATCAAGTTGGGGTTAGCATTTGGAAACCACAGATACAGACCACTTTTTCAAGAAGTTCCCTGTGAACTGTTCAGGGAGCCACTTAGGGACCTAGCTTGCTTGCAAGATCAGGACAGTATATGCATTGAAAAGGCAACGAGCCAGCCTCTGAAGAGGTCTCACAGGGCAGGGCTCAGATGCCTTTTAGAATCTCAATATCTGGAGGAGTATGTGCATTTTTTACAAATAGCTCCTTGGGGCCTGACATTCCCAAGACCATCATATGAGTAGAGAATGGAAGCAGCCAGACCAAGTCTGGAGCACAACTGTGAAGAAACCAAAGTGTATCACCAGAACGCTTTCGTACCTGGTACTGCCTTCCTCCACAGCCTCCAGGGCTTGTGAGAAGGGGCTCAGAAGAGGTCATCTTCTTCTTCTCTGTCAGGGCTCCAGTAGGAAGGAAAGGCGTGGTCAATCAGGAGATTCATTTTCATGAATGCAGAGAAACACAAAGGAGTGAAATAAGAATAGCTAACACACTGAAATACCTACTGTGTGTTTGGACTATTCTAAAGGCTTTGCATAATGATGCATTCAATCCTTTTATTTTTTTCAAAACCTTTTAATAACTGAAGGAGATAGGCCCAAACATTACCCTCATTTTACAGGGGAGAAAACTGAAGGACAGGCTTAATTAACTTGCTTCAGGCCCCTCAGTTAGGAAATGGCAGAGCCAGGGTGAAATGGAGTCACCGGGGTGTGGGAGGGATCCTGGGACAAGCAAGCTCTCCCCCCCATAGGGAAGCCATTTATGGAGCCCAGCAGAGGCAGACACCGGGATGTGGGGTAAACCCTTCCTCTGATGGAGAAGGGGCAGGCCAGTCCTCCTGCCTTGCAGGGAGGGTGTCCTCTGACGACCGTCTCTTCTCATCCAGGCTGGCCCTGCAGCACGGGGACGGCCATGTCGTGGATTACCTGTCCCAGCCGGTCATCGACTACATTCTCAAGAGCCAGCTGTACATCAATGCCTCGGGCTAGCAGCCACACGGCGCTGGGCTCCACTCTCCCCTCGTCCTCCACCAACACACTGGCCCCTCGTTTTCCTCTCTGTTGCTCCGTCTCCTCATCCTGACTGTTCTCCCCACTTGCTGACTCAACCCTCCACGGTGTGGGGGCCTGCAGAGAACCACGGCACACCCTATTCAGCAGTCATCTTTGGACAGACTTTCCTCTAGTCTCCGGGTCGGGGGTGGGTGAGGGAATAGGGTGGGAGTTGGGGGGAGTGCAGTCCTTAGAGATGTGCTGGTATCTGTCTCCCAGCATGCTCTAGAGAGCGGCTCCGGGGCCCGTCCTCCCAGCATGCTCTGGGGAGGCGGCTCTGGCTCTCGCCTTCCCAGCATGCCCTTTACCATGAAGGGCTATTTTTCTTTCTTTTCTTTTTTTCTTTCTGCTCTTGTTTTTTGGTGTGGTTTTTTGTTTGTTTGTTTGTTTGTTTGTTTGTTTGTTTTGGTTTGGTTTTTGGTTTTTGGGGGGTTTTTTTGGTTTTGTTTTGTTGTTCACTCCTCATAGAATTTGGATGAAATCCGTTTGCGTGGTTCTTTATGTTTGTAGTCTCAATGCATTCCTGTGGGGTTAACCTCCCTTTTGATCGGACACTGTAACCAGCCTCAGCGCTCAGTATGTGGGTGAGGGCCACACCCGGTAAAGAAGGTCAGGCTGCCTCCACTTTCCCAACACTCCCTCCCCCACTCACCCACTCACACCCTCCACACCCATACACCCACACACAGCAACAGTCTAGGGTCAGGACTGAGGCTTCCAGGTTCTGAAACCTGGAAGGCATATGTGGGAATAGTAGGGTTTCTCAGAAGAGTTTGAATCTGTTTCCTTTGTTTTAGAAGATCATTTTCCTGATGCTCTGGGCCTGTGATCACACGGAGCCAGTCTATCGTCATATCCTAGTGGCATTTGTACAGTTTCTCCTTTGGACTGTGACTGATGGCACAGTGGGTTCCCTGCCAGCCCAGCATTTCCAAGGAAGCTTCAGGTCACCACCTAAGCCCTTGGAGGTCATAGCTAGCTACATCCCTGCCTCCAAAAAGAATCACATATTCAAAGCCAAATCCTACCAATGCAGTCATTTCTGAAATAAAACATGCTAGGAATTCACTCAACCCTAGAGATCTTTGCCAATTGGAATTATTTTTTGCCTGTTTGGCTGGGAGATGTTTTTGTCGTGCTAGAAGTCCAGGATGGCCAAGGAGAGAGCAACTTGTTGCCCTGATGGAATTGATGGCTCTCACCTACTCTCGCTGTGCTGACATAGCTGGTGCCTGAGGTCAGTTTCTTCTGGAGACACACTACTTCGGCCTTGTTTCTTGAGCTACTCATATCTCCTGCAGAGCCCAGAAACCATACTCATCGCCTGAGGAAACGTGTCTGGCAGGGGAATGGGTTCACAGAACAGAGGTCATGGCGGGGAGGGCATCAAGAGCCACTAAATTGTTTCATTTTTTCTAACTTCTTACCTTGTCTGCTGCTCCTGGAAACGGTTCTGACAGACTGTTCTAGTTGTTCAGGTCTCATTCAGGCCCTGTTTCGAGAGCCAAAAGAAAATTATTCTCTTATGCTCTGTGTCTCTCATCTAGTCTCTGGCTCTGGGGTTTCTGGTTGTCTTCATGGAATGGGTCTCCAAGGAGCTGGATAATTTTATCAAAATCTAGTGCCAGTTATGGTCCGGGAGGGGTGGGGTGAGATCTGACATCAGGGACACCATTCTTCAGCACACATTTCACATCTGTGACATTCTTCAATGGCCTCCAGGAAAAGGAACAGGATTCAACAGAAGAGCATGTTACAGCATCATCTAGGAGGGTGTTATTCCTCTTGGATTATGAAAATAATCTCCAGAGGAGGGAATGAAGATTCTAATCCTGGGTTTCGGTGTTTGGTTAAGGCTCATGAAATCATAAATGGAAAAAAAAAACCCACAACTTCAGAGATTAGTTAATTCAACATTCTCCTTTAAAAGATGAGGGAGCAGAGATCCACTGGATTAAATGGCTGGCCCAAGGTTACACAGCAAGTGTAGAGCCTGGCAAAAGGATGTTGTTTCCCTGACCCTTAGGTCATCCCACCCCGTTCTCTCTGTCCCTCTAGTTCCCCCATGATATTGACCAGGTAGCATGTGGTTTCTACACTTTTCAGCCTTTGTCTGGCATCTTTCTTTTAAATTATGTCTCACCCAGGTGCTCCTATATAGGGCATTGTATATGGCAGTCCTGAGGGAAGGGAGGAAGGCCATAGCTAGGTTTCCCTTAGAAATCAAGAGATCTCAACAACTTAGAGGAAATCCCAAAAAGTGACCCACTGAATCCAAGAAAGGATTGCTTTATGGAAGGCTAAGAAAGACCTGGAATGTTCAAGATGACACTAGACAGAGAGACACAGAAGAGGCTTTTTCTGGGCAAAACGGTCCTAATCCAGGAAAAGAAAACAGGGAACTGAATTCCCTAGGGCAACATGGCATTTTTAAGGATGTGGAGTTTCTCTATGGTTAGAGTTTATTATGAGGATCTACATAAGCACATCTGAGAAAACCCAGACGTCATTTGTCTCTTTGGTGCACCCTGTTACTCTGCTGGGCTCTGTGATCAAGTCCCATTTGGTCCGCAGCCCATGATAGGGAACTGGGCTGGCTGTGTATACTCTGTGTGGGGATAGGCAGGGAAACAACAGGGGCAATAAATATGTCTGGAATGAAATGGGGCAGATCTTATCTTGGTGGATCACAGAGATTATATTAAAATAGCTTTTCTTTAATATAAGGAAATGTGAATTTCCTTTTGGGTAGAATTGTCCATTCTCCAACCTGCCCCATTCTTCATTTGCTAGGGGGAGGTCAGAGCCCCTATCTCAGTCCAGGGCAGGACATTGTGCCTGTGATGCTGCAAAGGCTGGCACTAGAATGACTCAGAGTTTGAAGTAGTGCCCCAGGTGCCACAAGGATGACCTCTAGGCCCTGACTTCCCCCTCTGGGGTCCCACTTCTTCCTACAAAGGCCAACTCAAGGCTGGCATGGCTCAGAGATTTTGAGAAACACGTGGGGTACAATGATCATGTTAACAGAGAGGTCAGGAGCCTCATTTCCTGCCTATCGATGAAAAACATCCCTCTTGCTCTTCTGAAAGTGGCTGAACAGGCAGGAGGGAAACCCTTTGTGCCAGTGACTCTCACCTCAAGGAGTGGCCCTCTGGGGGGTTCTGTGCTGCTACCTGGTACCTCATTCGCCACCCCCAACCCCAGGCAGTCTCTGGGGCCTTCTTGCTTTCATTTTCCTTGAATGTACATAAGAACAGGGGAGGAAAGTCTCTTACTGAAGTGCCTGAAACCCAGAGCTAGAGCTTCTAGAGACGCTATCTATTCTTCCATCTCCACTTGGCCAACTTTCCCCAGCGTTCTCTGGTCTCATGCTTCAGCTTCTCAGAAAGAAGAACTTGCTGTTCTAATTAAGTAGAAAGTGAGACTCAATAATCAAACTGCAGCAAAAGGCAGAGGATTACGAGGAGACATGACTTGTATTTTAACAGCCCAAATCTACTCTCCCCAACTGATAGAAACACACACTTTAGGGGACTAAGAGAGAGAAGCATGTTATTATATTCCATTCATCAAAAGAGTAATGCAAAAATAAATCCATAGAATATGAAAAGCTCAGGATCTCTCCCAAGGCTACTGCAGGAAGGCTGACAGGTGAGATGGGGAGGATGGAAACAGGGACTGATTTTGTAGCTCTTCCAATTAGGATACCCGAGGAATAGCACTGTGGTCCGATTCATCCAGTCTGCACCTTCCTATAGCTGCCCAGTGAACTGAATTCTTCACGTGGTTTCTTTGTCGTGTAAGTTTGGGGTGTCCTATTAGCTTGTTCCAGTTACTTAGGAATGAGTTACACTCTTTCCCTTCAGTCTAGCCCAGGGCCAGAACTCAGTTTGATCCAAACGGTCTCAAGGATTGGCGTGGGGAGGGGGAAGCTTTTTTTCTGAATCACTTTTGGTCACTGAGTCTGCCGTTTTGAGAGTAAGATTTGCTTTATGAAAATCAATTCATTAATAAAAACTACATTAAAGTTGCGACACCATTTCACAGTGAAATATTTTGAGTAAAATTTTGTTGCTAGAATAGTCACGGACAAAAGTTTTATCAGCGAAATGTTTCAATTACGTTAATAAATAAGACAACGATATTTGTATTGTGTCTTTGTCCAGAATCTTCTCTGTAAGCTGCAGAATTAATCACTTTTTTGTCATAGTCTTACTTGACAGGAGCCAACAGTTGCAAAAATGTTCTTAGAGCAGAGATTTTCTGCCCGGTTTAGCTGATGTCACATGTGTAATATGAAAGAATATACAGCCATACCCAAGGGTCATAAGCAGGGAAGGATAATTAGCAAAGTTGTGAATTATGCCTAAGAGTTTTCAATTAAAAAAAAAAAAATCAGATCTTAGAACCTACCTAATCTGCATTGTCTCATCTTGGTTAGCTTTGGCTCCCGAATGAAATTAGCTCTTTATAAAACAAAAATGTATTTGTAAAAACTCAGCTCAAATAACTCACTTTTGGTATAAGAGATCTTAAGACAAATCATTAAACTCTCAATTTGGGCAATGTAAATAAGCAAAAAAATGAATAATTTGTTAATTGTTCAGTTCTGTTCTATTAGTCCTTATTTCATGTGTAGTTGTAACACATATTGTGTGTTGACATAGATCTAAATGGTGATTGTCATTAGCTAGTATCAGTCGTGATTCAGAAGGTAAGATAGCAATTCCCCTTTAGGACCCTCATTTAGGGCTTAGCCACTTGTTTGTCAGATTAGTTGTGATTTTTTTAAAAAATCATTTTGGTTTTTACTATGTGTTTTGTTGTTACTGTTTACGATTGGGAATAGTTAGCTTTTGTGTGTATCCATCTGGGTTTGGTGGCACATCATAATGATGCTTGATATGCCTTGTAAATTGATTACTTGTGTTTACATTTGTTATTTTGGCCACAAACCGAAACCATTTTTTTCTGTGTCCTGAGAGTATGTAATGTTGAAAGCTTGGTTTAAAATTGGGCATAAACATTGGTTTAATTTGCTAACTTACATGAACTTATAAAAAAAATATGCACTCACTATGAACTAACATACATGTACCTACACATTTCTTCTCTTATGACCCATAAGTAAGCTTCAGAGCTTAGAATTTCTTAGGAAGTTCCATGTAGTCCATAGTGTAGTCCAAGCAAAAAAAAAAAAAAAA